CGGTTACGACATCCTGAAACGGTGTAACGGCTTCCCCGTGTAACAACGTATTCACCTGCGTCTTCCGTTTAATCTCTCGATCGCCTTAACGTTCCCGTAAACTTCGTATTTATAAATGTGTATAATAAAGAACGTTTTACTCCCATAATTCTCCTCTCTCTCTCTCTCTCTCCGCCCTTCCATAGTTTATCCTTTAACGTGTGTACTTGGTTACAATTTCTTTCGTTTTTCCTCTCCCGTTTCCAACTTTCATCCCCTCGCGCGTACGCGTGCGTTGTTCTTCCCTTCCGTTCCGAACACCCGTTCCAGATACGTATCCTGGATCCATTCGCACCGTTCAACTAAGAATACTTTTATCGTAGGAAAAAAAGGTCGTACAATCTTCGTGTAGCCCTTACAACGATTACAATTTTTTTTTCTAGTTTTCGCTTTCTCTCGAACATTCGTCCCTCCCTTTCTTTCTCACTCTCTCACTCTCTGTCACGCTACCTTTTTCTCTCTTACTTTCCCGTTTTTTGTTTCTACAGTCGCGTGTTAATCCGTTTCCACCGTCGAAACACTCGATTTGCTCGCGGCGTGAACACTTTCCGTGCTTTTTCGTTTTATCCTAAATCTCTCTCTCTCTCTTTCCTTCTCTTGTTTCTTCCTGCTTGTTCTTGGCCGTTTCGTTTTCCTCCCGCCACTTCCTTCCTCCTTTCCTCTTCCGTATTTTTTTTAATAATTAATAATAATAATATAGTAATAGTAGTAGTCGTAACGTGTAATGATAATCGTGTAATAACAATGATAATAAATCAGTAATCGTTTTGTTTGTTTTTTATACAACAATCACACGTAGAAGCGACGAATTAGAGTAGTAGAAATAACTATTTTTTCCCCTTAATCTTTAATTCTTTATGTTTATATTTATATTTATAATATAGTATCTGCAATATATTAAATCGTTTTTCTCTTTCTCTTCCCAGCTCTCTCGCTCTCTTTCTTTCTCGCTTTCTCTCTCATTCTCTCACTCTTTCTCGCTTGCTCTCTCTCTCTCTCTCGCGCGCTCTCTCTCTCTCTCTCTCTCTCTTTCGTTCTCTTTCTCTCTGTACCAATATACATACGCGGTAGGTCGCGGTGCGCGAGCGAGCGCGCGCGCGCGCGTGCGATGCGCGTCCTCGAAACGGAGAAACTTCGGTAGCGCGAACAGAAACCAGGGAAAACTCTACGGAAACGTGTTCCCCGCGTTTTGGAATTTCGTCCTCGAATTCCCAAGCTGTCCTACTTCCATCGGAATTGTCGAATCTCCGAGCCTCCGAATTTTCGAGTCCCAGAGTTCTCGAACCTCGAAACTCTCGTGCTCGGTGGTAATCATCTTTCGAATCCCTCGGAATTCGCAAAGCTCCTCGCTCCTCCGAATTCCTCGCTTCTTCCGACGAATCCTCTCGCCAACGCGGCAACGATCAAACCCTCTGAAACGCAACGCGAACAACCTCCGTCGACGAACAAAAAAGAATGAAACTTTAACGTAAGACTAGAATGAAAAGAGCGCGCCTCCCTTCCGCGAAAGCTCGGAACAAACGAAACAACGAGCGACACGCGTGCACCCTGTCCGCGCGGCCGCAGGCGCGCGCACCCATGTACATGTTCATAACATATATGTATACTTTTATATATATTTATATAACAAGATGGCAAAAATGTTCCTCCGATTTCTCGCGCATGGAGACCTCCACACGTTTCCATAATCGACTCGACCCCCCTAGAACCGCTCATCGTTATCTCTCTCTCTTTCTCTCTCTCTCTCTCTCTCGCGCGCGCGTTCCCCTTATCAAGTATCATCCCTGCTCCCATTCATCTCGGTCCTAATTAACTCCCGTAAGTCATAGTTATTAAATAGAGGATGTACGAACGTGTAGAAAGATTTTACTTATCTCGTGTTGTAATGAAGGTAAATTCGACGAAAAAAAGTGTTCGATCACGGATCACCCAGCGCTTGACGCGGCTCCCGTCTCGCTTCCGGGCCGCACACACACGGTTTCCGCTCGTGCCGACGATTAATAATAATAATATATAACTTATCTACCGTCCGTCTGGCTTGCGTACCGGACGAACACCGGAAGCGGATCGATACGCGCGTTTCCTATTACGTCGCTGTCGCGTGACGACTCAGAACGCGATTTCGGGGACGATTCTCCTCGTCTTCGTCTTCGTCTCCGTCGTCGTCGTCGTCGTCGTTATCGGCGCCATCCTCCCCGACAGCCGATTCCGGGACCATCTTTCATTCCTCCTGTCCACCGTCTTTTTTCCCCATTTTCTTTCTTCTCGTTTCTATTCGTTGCTTCGCTACCATCGTTACCTTCGATTCGCAGAAGATCAACCCTCTAGGCGTCCGCCTGTCCGTTTCTTTAGTTCTCCGACTCGTTTCTCTCGATCCCCGCTCGCGAGGATCGGGGATCCTCGATTCTTCCTCGCGAAAACGAAGTTTCCGTTCCCGGCGGGACGCGCGTCGCATCGCCGGCCGCGAGGACCGCGTTCACGATGAGGTATTTAACGACGTTCCATGGATCGCTTTGTTATCTCTCGGACGATCGGGCGTCTTGGTTTCTTCTTGTGTGCCTGTGTGACCTTGTCGCGTACACTGAGCTCTTCCCAGGATTCCTTTGTCGAACGTACTCGCGGTCGTACGGGGTGTTGGTGAATATTGTAATTGACGCCGATGGGACTCCGAGGGTTTCTCGGATCGAGTTCTTGGAATACTTCTCGCCCCTCGCGACGTGTAACATTCACGAGTTCTCCAATGGAAATGACAGAAAGTAAACGTCCCTCGATCGTTTTCGCCTCGAATTCAATTAAAGTAACTTCGTCTAAAATTATTCTAGCGCAGTTGCGACAGAAGTCGAAGGACAATGGGTGGTTTGATCATTCGGCTAACTCGACGAGGAAAGAGAACGTGACTATTGTTACAACCTATCGACATTAACCGTTACAATGTCCAATCTCTATTGAAACATTCGTCGCCGCAGCTCGACTTCCGGCCAACTGAAAAACTTAACGACGCGACTTCGATCGGGTCCCATCAAACTACCATGGATCTCAATTCAAATCACCAACACGCCGAGTAAACGCGTGCATTCCACGCGGGACGCGTTTCGGACCGTTCGCACGTTCCTCGACCAGTGTATCAATGCGCGTGCTCGATTACAACATGAAAATTACTTGGTACCGTCGTAACGAGAGACGAGAACGAACAAAATTCGAAGGAAAAAAGAGTTACATATGGAAGATTGTTCTGTACAGCGACTAAATCGTACGAACTATTAAATTAATACGTGGATGCCGACGTGCCGGCGCCGTCTCGTCCGTCGATCGCGGTCTCGTGTCCTCTCTGTCGCTCTATCTCTCTCTCTTCTACGGCCGCGTCGGCCATTTCTCGCGCCGCTGTACTTCCGTTGTCCGACGTATGACCGGGTTCCTTCTAGTTCGAGCGTATCCGCCGATGCCCAGCACCGACGTAACTGGAACACCCTTCCGTCCCACTTATCCGCCTCCCTTTCATCCTCCCCGCCTGGCTTCAACCCTGAAGACTCACCGTTCCGACCCAGTAGTCCAAAATATTCTTATTTCCGTTTACCCTCTCGTGTCTCTTCCTTCGCTTCCAGTAATTTTCAAACTTTCCAGCGTTGATCTTTCTCGAAGATGATAGCCGACCCTCTTTCCTTCCTTTACATATTTAGTTAAAATTCAGATGAGTCTTCGAATTGACCAGATTATGCATCGACACATTAAACGTCTCGATCCCTCATTTCTCTATCCTCCAGTGCTCCAATCTTCGAATCTAGGAAGCACTATGGCAGCAGGATTCTCGTTTCTCCGAATGATTCTCACTTCCTCGGAATCCTTCGTCCGAATACCAAACACTTGATCAATGATCAAACGATTTCCCGAATCTCCTCGAAGATCACACCGTGGACTCTCCTATGAACCTTGCTCAAAGCGAGACCGAACTTCCCGGATCCCTTCGTTCGTCTTCCGGTTCCTCCCAGACATTCTGCGCGAGAAAATCGGCTCGGCACGGCGAGCAGCTACCGGAAGCAACTAAGTCGCGGCGTTTCCGGTTCCCTGATCGTTTCGCATCGCGGCTTCCTCTCTCCCTCTGTCTACATGTTCGGTGCTCGAGCGTGTACGATCCGCGAACCGATCGGCGAACAAATAAATATACGCGGAGGACACGCGTTTACCGTATATCCATTCGTGTAACCGGCTCGCGCGTTTCTCCCCTCGTATATGCGCGTGTGTACCTGGTATTCTGTTTCAGTGTACGTGTGTACGGGTGTGTGGGTGCGCGACGGAGTGTACTTCCCTCGTGAATCTGTG